GTACTCTCCTTAGTTTACTTTACATTTCACCCTTCACATGTTTTTTCGTAACTTTACTCCTTGACCCCCAAAACGCGTAGGTCAGTAACGCTGTATAGTCATTTGGTTCTCGCTCTAATTTTTGCTAATGGATTTGGCTACCCATGATTAAGTTTCACTGTCACTTCTTCCTATTTATTGGACTTGTTATTTTGGCGATTTTGCTGCAATTTTCTGTAAGCATGGAATTCTCTTGCGTTGCTGCTGGGTCGTTCCACCAGGGAGATCCCAGATTTACCGAGAGCAACAACGCTCAATGCATGGCAAATGCAACCTGTGCCCTCGCATGGCAAGCATTCTGCGGCGGATTCAGTACCAACGCTATTGACGCTATACTCATGGCGGGCGATAGCTTGTATACACTATCTCGCCGTGAGCATAGCATCACTAACCGGTATCTGTTCCCTGAGGACCTCGCCAGGCACTTCGTGGTTGCACACCATCGTGTTACCATCGAAGAAATTTCTTGTGTTTGGGACGGGTTGTATCCGTTACGAAACGATGGCCTAGATGAGGTGACCTCTTCCTTGTCTTCGGTTTTGGAAGCAGCTATGCCCGGTGACTCCGTTGATAGCGGTTTTTTGTTTACGGGACAGTTGGTGACAGTCGCTTTTTGGCGTTTCCAAGGGCGGCTGTACCTCTTTGATTCCCACGCGGTAAACGAAAACCGTCGTCGAGACATTGATGAGGCGAGAAATAAGGCTAGGGTGTTCGTCTGTAATAGTTTTCGTTCTCTAGCTTCCCTCATTTTGGTGAATTCTGCGTTCGACGGTGGGCAGTACTCCGTCACAAAAATAAAGTTTTCCGTCAACGAAACTCAAACTGTCCACACGGTCGACTGTTCGGACAATGACTTAACTCAGTTATCAGAATCTGCCTCTGAGACAGTTGTTCAGAAAACCAAATGTCCTGGTAGACCAAAAACAATAAAGCGTGGTCGTCCAAAGCTTTTAGACACGACCCGAGAAGAGCAAGTGGATGCGGCGAAGAAGAAGTATAGGGAGACGCACGCTGACAAACTCCGGGATGACAGTCAACGTTACACTCAAACCCACCCTGAGGTGCACCGAAAGGCTGTTCAGCAATACGACCTGCGTAATCCCGGTGCTTCTGCTGAGAGAGTTCAGATTTTTCGCCTGAAAAATCCGAAAATGTCTGAACTTCGCTATATGCCCGCATCACTTGCTCGGTCCGTAGTCAAAAATGGCCCCATGTCTGTTTGGAATGGGGAGCCACTCAATGAAATACAACCATACAAATTAAAAAAAGTCAGTCTCTGGGTTGACGACGTTTACAGATGTCGTCATTGCCAAGCACGGCTCTTCGAGGAGGAGAAGAATAGAAAGCAATGGTGCTGCGGGGAAGGAGCGTTCAATGTTCTCGACATTCCTCCGTTGCAAGAACGCTTTTATTCCGACCGTCTCTTCCTGGAAAGAGCCCGTGCGTACAACGACCTGTTTGCTTTCTGCGCGCTCGAAGTGTCAGGCGGGTATCGTCATCCCAGTGGTCTTTCTTTTTTCAAGATCGAGGGAAGAATGTACCACCAGGTCTACAATCTGGACGCCCCAGGACAAAAGTTCACCACTCGTTCTGGGAACGTTCAGTTTGTGAATCGGTCCCGCCTGTATATTGACGATGGCGAAGAGCGCCGTAACATTGCGATGGGTAGATCGCTTGATGCCGAGATCATCGACGGTATTGCTGATTTCCTGTCTAGGGAAAATCCTTACATTGAGCATTACCGTCGATTGAGCAACGAGCCTTCCGTAACAGCTCACTTGGCTTTTGAAGTAACAAGCAGGTCTACCCATGGCCCTGTTCTCGGTGATCGGCAAACAGGCGTCGAAGTGCACGCCGTGCTCAGCAATGATGAAAACGACACTGAGCCCCGGAGACTGACTATATGGAAATCCGGTTCCGATAGACCTACATTTATTGATCTTTTACACCCCCTAATGGAACCTTTCCAATATCCCCTACTTTACCCGCAAGGCACTGTGGGATGGCACGTTGGCCGCCTTGATAACAAGGGTGCCAAACTGACTCAATTTAAGTACTCGCGGTGCCTCCTACTTTCTGAACCTCGCTTCTCTCACCTAGGCCGTCTCTCACAAGCTTGGCAGGTTGAGATGTTCGCGAGGTACGAGGAGGAGAAACTGCGTTACATTAAGTTTACGCAGCTGAAGAACACCGATAGTGCCTTGCGGGTGGGGCCGGTTGACGAGATTCGGAATGCACAGCAGGTCTTGAACGACATCGCTCGTGATGAAACCGTCCAAGGCGAGGGTGGGGTGCAGGCAGGAAAAGTCTACCTCCCAAGTTCGTTCACCGGGGGGCCCAGGTACATGAAAGTAAAATACGAAGACGCTATGGCAATCGTATCGCGCCTGGGTTCCCCCACTTTCTTTTTGACGTTTACTTACAACGCGACTTGGGAGGAAAACAAGAAAGCTTGCCCTCGTGGAGGTACTCGCAGTGACCCTAGCACTGCTTGCAGAGTTTTTAGGATCAAACTTCTGGAACTTCTCCGAGACCTGCGCAGCGGAGCAATGTTTGGACGCTCTGTCTATATCGTCTACGTCATCGAGATGCAAATGAGGGGCCTTCCTCACGCCCACATTGTATTCAAGATTGACGGCGACGGACCAGTTCAGGCGTCCGAAATTGACTCCATCATCCGCGCGGATATTCCCTCGGAAGAAGAGGCCGGAGGCCGACTGAGAAAGTTGGTCCTCAAACACATGATCCACGGTCCATGTGGTAATGATCATAGGACTGACTTTCTCTGTTGGGACTCTGCAAAGGGTTACTGCACCAAATACTTCCCCAAGCCCTGCTGTGAAACCACCCACGTCGACGAGAGGGGATTCGTCCAGTACAAGCGAGATTATACCAATCGGGGGACAATTGTATCACGCAATAAGAACATTATCGTACATGACGGTTGGGTTGTGCCTTATAATCCCGCACTGATGTTGAAATACGAGGCTCACATCAATTTGGAGCTGGCGTCTACTCGCCGCGTGATTAAGTACCTCTTCAAATATCTTATGAAGGGAGGATCTCTCCAGAACGTCACAGTTACTCCCTTCAGTAAGCAAGATGATGAGGTACAGCATTACGTGACGAAGAGAATGGTGGGTGCCAGTGACGCGTGCTGGCGTTTATTAAACTTTCCAGTATCAGAATCTGAGCCGGCTGTTGAATGTCTTCCCGTCCATCTGGAGGGCAAGCAGTCCGTCCTGTTTAGACCTGGCCAACTGGCAGAGGCAGCCGCTAGGAACAGCTCCAAACTCACCATCTACTTTGACCGGCCTCGTATTTCACTGTTTGACGACCTGACTTATCAGGGGTTCTATGAAACGTTTGTGGTTCATGTCAAGCGCCCAAAAACTGCGGAGATATACGAGCACCCCGATGGCGTCCATTTTATCACTGCCCGACAGCGTGGCGAGAAGGTGTGCAGACTGTTTTGGGTCTCACCGAGCAGGACAGAACAGTATTACCTGCGTATCCTGCTTATGACTGTATCTTGCCGTGGTTATGCCGACCTCCTGTCCCGCGGTGGACCAAACTGCCGCACTTTTCAAGGGGTCGCGCGGCATCTTGGCTTGGTGCAAGACGAACAGGAGTACCACTACGCACTGCGCGAGGCCGCCACTTTCATGACTGGCCCGAGACTTCGTTCTTTCTTTGTGATCCTCTGCAACATGGGGGCTCCTGCAGCTCTCCTGTGGGATGCTTTCCGTGATTCCATCTGCGAGGACCACATAGAGCGTAATCCTCTCGATGTTGAACTGGCCTACAAGCTAGGTCTCATCGATATTGATCGGAGTCTTCGTCGGCAGGGTTCTTGCGTCGCAGATCATGGCCTCCCCGATGTACACGATGACACGACGGAGTTGGGCAGAGAACTGCTCTTACATGGTGAAAATCAACAGAGAGTGTTTGTGGAGGAGTGGGTGCCAAAGCTCTCTGAAGATCAAAACCGCGTATTTGAGTACGTTACCTCCGTTCTCAATGCCCCTGCCAGCGGAACGTCGTCGAAAATCATTTTTCTTGACGGCCCGGGAGGCTATGGGAAGACCACTCTGATTCGTGTCATTCTCGCATACGTGAGAGGTTGTCGTCAGGTTGCACTGGCAGTCGCTAGCTCTGGGATCGCCGCGGGTAACATGCCTGGTGGAACTACAGCTCACAGCATGTTCCGGTTGCCACTCGACTTCGGTGACGGCACCGGCTTTTGGAACATCACCAACGGCTCCCAGCGAGCAGAGCTCATCAGGGCCGCAAGGCTCATTGTCTTTGATGAGGCCCCGATGGCACATCGGTTCGTTTTCGAGGTTCTTGACAGATCCCTGCGAGACCTCATGCGTTCCAGTGAGCTATTCGGTGGTAAAATATTCCTCTGTTGTGGCGACTTTCGCCAGATCGCGCCTGTCGTTGTAAACGCTCGTACTCCAACTGACATTGTTTGTGTCTCACTTCGGGCTTCCCATCTGTGGCAGCATTTCAAAATTTTTGCCCTGACAACAGCTCATCGGACTAGTAGTTCCACAGCCTATTCCGAATTCCTTCTTAGGGTAGGCAACGGAACTGTCAGTTCGACCACTTTCTTGGAGGGACGGAACGAACAAAGTCTAATTCCGCTGCTCGGGATTAGACAAGTGACGTCTTTGACTGATTTGGTCGATTCCGTCTTTCCCGCAAACGTCCTACTCGACTCTGATATGTGTTCGCGACGCGCAATCCTCTCGACTCTGATAGTGAACGTCAAGGAGATCAACGACCACATCTTGAACTCCCTCGACGGTCATCTGTACGAGCTGAGGAGCGCCGACACAGTCGACAGAGAGAACGACGATGGCCTGGATGTCGACGTTTAACTCCTGAACACGGCTACTGGCAAGGGCGTACCAGACCATGTTCTGCGGCTGAAGATCGGTTCTGTTTGCCTCATTATGAGGAACCTCAACATCGCTGAAGGACTCGTCAACGGCACTAAAGTCATCGTAATCGGCATCACCAACCGCCTGATTACAGTGAGACTTCCCGGACAGACGCAACCTATCGGAATTCCCCGGATTACCTTTACTTTTGCGTTTGTCGAGGGTTCGCCGTTACGTGTTCGTCGACGTCAGTTCCCACTGATGTTGGCCTATTGCATGACCGGACACAAGAGCCAAGGTCAGACAATAGATTCAGTCGGTGTTGATTTACGGACCGATTGCTTCACGCACGGGCAACTATACGTCTTGCTCAGTAGGGTCAGACATCCAGACCATATTGTTGTTCTCGTACACCCCGAACGTGTCCGAGATGGAATCGCATACGCAAAGAACATCGTGTATGGCGATCTCCTTCTCTAAACCTGATTTGACATTAGCAGTAGGCTAGGGGATCTGCTTAATCAAAACTCCCCGTTGTGACTTGACAACATCGGCAGTACGATAGGGGGCCTGCCTTATCAAAAGTCCCCGTTGTTGTATAAAGTAGTTAGTAAAGTTTACTAACTTGTACATTTGTAAATAATTGTAAATATGGTTCCGACGTTTCCTGGCCTCCCCGTGGCGGAACTGGATATGCCATAAATTGTATGGCTAACCGACAGGGAAACAAACATTACTTGATCTATTTTCATAAATATATACATGAATATCTACTATAATCTATTTAATTCATATGATACCTTACTATTATCAACTTATTCACTTATCAATCGACATACTAATCAATCTACTCATCTTATACAACAGTTCTCTAATTTGTACATTTGTAAGTAATTGTAAATATGGTTCCAACGTTTCCTGGCCTCCTCGTGGCGGAACTGGATATGCCATACAGTTTGTGGCTAACTGACAGGGAAACAAACATTACTTAATCTATTTTCATAAATATATACGTCATGAATATCTACTATAATCTATTTTCTATTTACATCATATATACATGAATATCTAATATAATCTATTCACATCATATAATACTTTACTATTATCAACTTATTAACCTATCAATGAACATCAATATAAATTTACTTATCTTGTACAAAAGTTTACTAACTTGTACATATTCAAATAATTGCAAATATGGTTCCGACGTTTCCTGGCCTCCTCGTGGCGGAACTGGATATGCCATAAAGTTTATGGCTAACCGACAGGGAAACAAACCTTACTTAATCTATTTTCGTAATTATATACTTGAATATCTACTATAATCTATTTACTTCATATAATACTTTACTATTATCAACTTATTAACTTATCAATCTCCTCTAATAAATTCATGAAATCGTTATTACTTTAATGTCGATTTTTACTATAACGAACCCTTCTCTCCTCATATTATTACTTCCTTTGACCAAAAACTCAATTGTAAAAATACTTGACTAACATACTCACTTACCGCAACTTAAAAAATGATTTTTTTATGAGGTGTTCCTTAAGCTAGAAGTTATCTTACTCAAAGTTAACTTATATAACTTAATATTGACGGTTTCACTTCTTGCTTTGTTACAACTTAACTCTAATCTACTAATGACGACTAACAGCTAGGGGGCCTGGGGGCGGAGCCCCCAGCGAGCCAAAGGCGAGTTTAGTTTCTATATACTCAATACGGGCTTATCCCAACTCCGCGCGGTGGTCACTTCGGGTCCCTCGCGGCACATGTCCAACTCCGCGCGGTGGTCAATTGGCTCTAACCGCCCTGACTGCTGAGAGTTTGTATTTGAAATTTGTTAAAGTTATAAATGTAAATGATTTAGAACTGTACGAAACCACAGTAACAAATAAAATAAAGCTAACCAATTCAAAAGAGAATACCTATATTTCATTTAAATTTACATATCATTCCTAACCTAACCAACCCTAACCTGTCAAATGAATAAAGTAGCTATGCACAAATAAAAAAAGTGTAACATTACTTTTGAGAAACAAGGTATATATAGAATATTTTGTATTAAACATATCTCATCCGATAGCACAACAAGTACAGGTTAAATATTAGTTAAATATTAATGGGTAGCATAGGGATTATATGTGGCCACCGCGCGGAGTTGGGCTATCCCTCTTAATACAATACGGGGGTTCTCTGTTCTCTGTTACATCCCTTATTAAGCCGTTATAATATGAAATCATAAACAGTTTATGGCAGTAGGCAATGCCCAGCGGCGAATTGATTGTTCGCGATGAAAATACTTAAAATACTGAGTTAGAGGTGAAATGTAACAGCCATTATCAAACTAGGCCTATCATTTTCATGTTCAAATACGTTTGTGATCTTAAAATAATTATTACGATAGGAATAGATAATGGAAGTCGTAAAGGAATAAAAGTGATAAAACTTTATGAGCTAAACACTCACTCAACGAGTTCTTTCTTGGAAGTACTTGACTTGCCCTCGAGTACAACGATTATTGTCGTGATAAAATATTAATGGGTTTGGGACTGCTAATGGGTTTTTTATTGCATCATTACCCTAGTAATAAATTATGAAAATCGTAAACAACCATCTGATAAACCTTTTATGTGTTCCTTAGTTTCTTTCCAACTACGTTGACTACGATAGTGAATTGAAAGTTATTTTTATTATTGGCTGTACCGAACCGAATTTGTACCGAGTAAAGTGCTGTACCGAACCGATGACGGTAACTAGGCTAGAACCGTACCCCATAAAACTGACTATTTCTGTGTACCGCAGACCTCTCCCAGTCAATATAGGTTTGATGTCGGAAGTAATTCTGGGAAAGCTGGATTTTTCTATGCTGTTAGACCATGTTGAGATGAGTATTTTCCCAAAATTCCTCACTCCTTCCCCTTGTGCTTTCCTCTTAACCTCCCCTTTTTAGAAACATTTACAGGCTCTTAGAAAATTAGCTATAACTTTAAAACCAGTAAGGATAACAATGCAATCTTTTGTTAATCCTTTTTGCGATAAGATTTTCTACAAAAAGTGTATTGACCATGTTAACCTAAATATTTATAGTTTTGTCATAAAAATGACATGAACATAAAAACTAATTTTTACGGATCAATTTTACGAATAATTTCATTGTAGATTTGTTATATGAGGTCGCACGACCAAATGTTTCATTGTAATCCATCATTTAGGCTCTAAAACCAGATCGGAGTAATAAAAAGACGAATGAATTGTTTGTATTTTGTTTTTAATTTCCGGTTAGATCTTTGTGGAAACTCTCCTCCTTCCCCTCTCATGGCATCACAATCGACAATCTCACGAGTGTCTATGATTCGCTCAGCCAAAATATGGCACCGTAAATAAATACAGTATATGCCTTCCAAGGATTCTTGCAGAATTAGTTAAATCAATGACTTTACACTTGCAGTAAATGAATGCAGTAATATAATCAATGTTTAAATCTGTGGCGTTCGCCAGCTGGTAGTCCAGTGTCAACGCATGGGGTCGATCCTGTACATGTGTCATCATTAATTAATGACAGTGACAAACAGCGAGTTGATCCTCACTGTTGCCAATATAACCTTTCAACATTTGTTTGGCTTTATTACCAACCTTCCGGCACATCATGGCTTCTAGCTTTACATCTTTACGAGATTAACTTGGTTGTTACATGTTAGTCACACCTCGAAACGATTTTCTACCTGAAGTTTTACTTTTTACAACATGTAATAAAATAGATTATATTTTATGACGCTGACACACTATGTTAAGGCGATGAGTGAATAATCAGTGAAGAATGAGTGAAGAACGAGTGAAGGATGAGTGAAGAACGAGTGAAGAATGAGTGAAGAACAAGTGAAGAATGAGTGAAGAATGAGTGAAGAATGAGTGAAGGATGAGTGAAGGATGAGTGAATGATAAGTGAAGAACGAGTGAAAGACGAGTGAAGAACGAGTGAAGGATGAGTGAAGAACGAGTGAAGAATGAGTGAAGAATTAGTGAAGAATGAGTGAAGAATGAGTGAAGAATGAGTGAAGGATGAGTGAAGGATGAGTTGAGAATGAGCGGAGAATCAGTGAAGAATTAGTGAAGAATGGGTGAAGGTTGAGTGAAGAATTAGTGAAGAATGAGTGAAGAATGAGTGAAGAAATGAGTGAAGGATGAGTGAAGGATGAGCAATGAGTGGATGAGGCGAGAGCCTATTCCACCATCTATTTGTCTATTGTTGTCCACTATCTATTGTTGAGAATCTATTTGTTAGTAAGATCAGCTGTTTTTAGCCAAGATAGTTGAGAGGATATAGTCATAGCCTCATCTACGGTTGTATGTAGCGAGAAAAGTGGCAACGCCGCATTACGGGCAGAAACTGGTGTTATGGAGCGTCCGCGCAATGTTTGTTATAGGCCGGCCGGTGCGACGTTGCCATACACAGTTCGTTTTACGTATTAGCTTAAAATAAACGGCATAATAGCTTGCTTGGCTGAATTTAATAGTTGAATTTTTTTTATAAGTGGAATAAGCCTTCTCAGTTGCGTTTTAGTACGCATGCTATTTACAATTTCTGATAAGAAACACGTGTGTGCATTAATTAACAAACCTATGACAAATTGTAATAAGTTACCTAATAAGCATTTCCCAGTTATACAAACATACTGATATTGAAATTACGCTGATATTGAAAAAAAAACATATAATTAGCCAAAGAATCGTATAACACTGGTATATTTACATAAAACTTGTTTACAAACTAAAAATTTAAATTTTGTTTATTACTAAAAGGTACAAGCTAGAACACAAATGAAAATTTAAAAGCCAACAGTACAATAAAGAATATACACAATTGCCACTTTTAAACTGTCGTACTGTTTTGGCATATATATGAAATTTAAACATCGCGTTGGGCTTAGAAGTATGAATACGCATCCATCCATTTACTTTCCAATCCATCCTTTGTCCATACATCCTCCCATCTAATGCATATGTCATCTTATCCCGTTTATCCATAGCTAGCGTTACAGGATATGCACAGTCTGAAACAAGAGCCCCTCGAACAGAGCCCAAACTGCACATCGAGGCTACAATACTGTGTGCATAGTTGATGAGTTAATGAGTTGATCTCCCACTGGAGTTGAAGGCCATCGTTTGAGGTTATGTGCAATAAACGAGAAAAAAATGAACGATGGTCTCAATTGGACCGTGGAGGAAAATTTTCGCTTTCATGCCAGCACATTTGCAACAATATGCAAAATGAAAACTAGACACTTTATTGAATGTTTTGCTAACTACTTCTATATTTTATTATTAAAAAATATTGATTGTGAAAGGAATTTATAACGAGAGCAATAGCCTATACCCCAAAATTAATAACTCTGGATCAATAGGTGTTTAGTGCTACGAAAATAACATAAATTGTTATTTTAATTAAATGTTAAATGCTACAGTGAAATAAAGATATTTTCCAAGTTGTTTGAAGATATAGTTTTAAATAAGATATCTTATTAATTTAATTATTCCTCCTTAGGAGGGGACAATACTATAGTTCGGCCGCTTAGAAAGCGACCTCCTCCAGCATTGGTTTCACATTAGCGCGCAGGTCGTTTTCTAAGCGGCTGAACATTTTTTTTAGAGAAGGACTGTGTTACATATTATATTATTAGGGTTCTCAGATGTCCTGAATTAATTGTTATTGTGTTTGTTTAATTCAATGTTTTTGTTAAGTTAAATTTTTACAAAAACTTATGAAATGATTAAATTGAGTTTATACAGTACTTGAGGTGCGAGAAGAACTAACGTTTGGTAAATATGGGTATATATTTGGTATATATGTAATGTATGCACTTTCATCAGAAAACGGTGCGCACTAGAAACCGAAAGTGTGAAGTTAGCGTACCCACACTTATCATCGGCTATAATTTATTTTTATTTTTAGAGAACTAACGAAAATACTGTATTGGTGAACTATCGAGAACTAACGATTGGTATGAGCTAAAGTGGATATGCTAATATGGGTACGCTAACTTCACGGACCTCAGAATTGTAACTATAATAATTGGCGACGAGCTGTTACATGTGTTATTAGGATTCACAGAATGTTCAGAATTAATTGTTATTATGTTTGTTTGATTTAAATTTTTGTTATAGTTAAATGTTTACATTATAAATTGATTTAATTGAGTTTATACAGTTCTTGTTTAATAGACTTGATTTAGAATGTTATATCTCGCGTAAAAATTTTAATAATTTTTATTATGATTTGTTTGAAATGATGAGGAAGTTTACTAAATCTGCTTTGTTTGTGATTTGAACTAAATTTAATAATGGAACAATTATATTAGAAAGTATTATACATTATTTTGATTTAAAATGCTAAATAATGCTATTTTTGGTACAAACCCCGTACTTCCCAATCTTTGGATCGGGATGATTCGCAAACTTATTCGAATAGGTGTTACTGTACTTTAAACTTGTATTCCATGTTCCGCGTAAAGGGTGGGAAACATGATATTAATATTGTTTGATATATAAAATATCAAACAATATTAACGAACTTAATTTAATCCACAGTTTGAGTTTAATAGCAACTAACATATTTCCTTCGAAAATCGGTCATTAAATAATCTTATCACACCCTTATCTGTGCTTACAACCAGAAGGAAATATTGGGCCCTCTCTCTCCCTCTAATCCGTACACAAAACTTTCTTATCGACGTTTTGACGATAAGATGAACGACAAATTCAGAAATAAAATTTTATAGCAGATAACTGTAAAGTGTAAAGCAAGATAAATGTTGGAGCCAGCAGACGGGGTGTGATTAGTTTAACAGTCGTATATCTTTGTTATTAATGACAGCAGTTCTCCCTTCTCCCGCCGTAAGCTCGGCTAATCAATCAATGACAACTTGTAAATGGTCTTTCCCTCTCTTTCTCACTCCCTCTCTCTCTTCCTTGACAGTAAATCAATAGTGACGTCACGAGCGCTAATGACAACTGCGCACCAATGTTGCGCACCAGCTGTTTTTTTCGCGTCATTCATCTTTATAAATTAATCAGCTGTTAGTATTTAATTGTACAACAGACTTCTTTTGTTGGCGTAGGTTATGTTTTATTAATTAATAAATTAAATTATGATTCATTCTCATCGTGAGTGTTGAAAAGTTTTAGTGTGGTGCTGTGCTACAATGTTACGCCAGTGTAAAAAGACGGTCTGGGAACAGAGAGATTAATTGGGTATTTATAATTTTATCGCCAAGTTGGTATTTTTTGAAATAGGTTATGTTTGTAGTTTAGGTCGTGATAATCACATGCATATTGTTAATAGAGGTTAAGTTAGTGTATTTTGTGTATTTTTTATTGAATTTGAAAAGGAATATGGTGATTTTATACACCTTTTCATAAGTCTTTGTTCATTATCGGAGTTGGTAAGTGAACACTCAAGTATGGCCCACGAAATTGTAAGTTTTCTCCAGTTCCATTTATTAGATTATTCTAGCCCAGTTGGGTCTTGCTCAAAATGCTTAATTTTCATGCAAAAGTGTGTCTAACAGCACTTAATAATGTAATTAATCTGTGAAAAGATATGCTTGTACATGCTAAAAAGTGTAAGGCTATCAAGGTGCAATAATTAATTTATCTTTGTAGGCCCAAGCCTATTTATTTTAATTTTATTCAGCATTGAAACTATCTGCTTTTATATATTGATACAGTTTAATGTTGGTGCTGACACAGGGGGCACAGAATGCAATGTTTAGAAATTTTGAAAAACGTTGATATCCGACTGCATTGTACCTATGCTAACTTAACTTATTATTGAACATCAAATTATCGAGTCTATCGATGACTTAACCAAGCTTAGCCTAGCCTAGTCAAAAATCGAACTTCCATATAGTCTATTGGTATCGTATCGGGTACAGTTTCTTAACTGGGCTACGCTAATATTGATTGAAACTATCGAATTGAAAATATTGATTAATAACTTGATTGATATTTTAAAATATATCTATTATAAAATTAAACTGTCATAGGTAAACCTAACCTAACCAACCAAACTTGCTGATGACGGTGAAAAAATCGCATTATTAAGGTTTAGTAATCGAATCGATAGTTTCAATCAATATTAGCGTAGCCCAGTTAAGAAACTGCACCCATAGTATCCTGATTATAACTTAAGTAGTCCATTTTTTTTTCTAAAATTGTAAGTAAACCGACATTAACTTGAGGTAGGCCTACAATTCCCCAGAGAATCTGCGATAGGCTAGGGCTATATTATCAGATGAAATATTAGTCGGATATTTATATCGTACCGTAAGTTATTGGATATAGTAACTTAGTCCTTTTTGTTAGGTAATTCACTAAGTTATGTATATCGAATTGCTATGTACATTGTGAGTATTTCCATAGGTAGGCCTTATACTGGCGTCCATGATTGAGTTGAGACTCCTTTTAAAGTCTTTGGAAATTATAGCTGTTATCCGTTTAAAAATAACACCTGTAAATACTTCGCAATTGCTCAAATTCGAATTAGGTACAACTTAGTTTTTGTTACCTCTATCAATTATAAAATGAAACTATTATAAACTAACCTCACTAACCAAACTTTTGCTGATTATGAAAAAAATCTGGTAGCCTAGTGAATAAGTTTTAAACGGAATTGCAATAAAAAAAGTACTGGTATAGTAAGTTAACTTAGTGAATTAGGCCTTTAACGAAAAAATGCTGATAAACTTCTGTATAAGAGTGGTGGGCGGTACTCTCTTTGAAAAGACCCATAACAGAATAGGCTAGGCTATAAATATTTATTTCCATTGAAATATTTGATTACATATTTGTATCCAACTGATATTTTTATCCCATAGACTTATTTTGTAGGTTCTCTGAGGAATTCTTAACCTGGGTGAAGCTTGAGTTAACTTTTTCTTAATCCTCTTACTCATAGCTTCAGCGGCGTTTGGTTGGACCAAAAACTTGGTCATGGTCATTCAAGTAGGCTAATATTGTTTTGCTAAAGTAGGCCTAAGTTACTAAGTTATTAAGATTAAAAACTTTGCCAAAATTATGATTTGTGGAGTCTGAGGGGCTTAGACTAGGTACGGTACGGTATCAAAATTGTGACTTTTTAACAGATGAAATTTTGAATATATTTTATTAAAGTAGGCTAAAAGAAATTAATAGGCTATACTGGTATATGCTTTATAGTGCACTGTATTTTAATTCTGATTTCTTCATATAGAAACATTGGGTAGGCCAGAGGCCACCCTTATACAGCACGCTGTGGCAGTTATGTTAGGTTGGGTTATCATTAATATGTTTGTTGGACTTTTCTTGTTTTATTATTAATCAAAAAATACCAGATGTGTCATACTTTTGCTCGCCAAATCCCAGAGAGGTCCTTGACTGGCGTGCGCGCATCACCTGTAAGCCTACCTGGTGTGGCAGCTAGCGGCAGCGAGGCAAACTATTTAACTTAATCCTCGCCGACATCGCTGTCTTCTGGGAGGCAGAACTCGAAGTCCGCTAATTGTAATCATGTCAAATACGAACAGTAAGTTGATTTAAGTAGGTATGTTCTTTCCATTTATGATTACCCAACCTACCATAACCGCCGCAGCGTGCTGTATAAAGATGGCCTCTGGATAATGTCAAAGTAGGCTTCCAAAAATTGTTCTAGAATTTGCTCAAGACACCGGCGACTGTTGCCCGGCACAACTTAAGTTTACAATTGAACTTATCCTCTGTATCTGAATTCTCTGTGGCTTAGCCTAGAATATTACCATCTTATTGTTCATGTGGTTTGCTTATTTTGTCGTCAAATTTTGAATCACATAATATAGGCTATATATATCTGAGTGTAGGTATGTGGCTGGTTTTCTTGGGCAAGGGCTATTGTCTTTTAGCTATTTGAGTTTCACCCACTCCCCTCCCCCCATAGTTAAATAAAAAAAGAATAAGCCTATCTGAGGTGTCAAAGCACAGGCTTTAAGTTTTTTTTTTTTGTGTTAAGATAGAATATTACAAATTAGTAGGCTAATATCTCTTACAAAATATAAGTAGGTTACCTATAAATATACCGGTAGGTAGGTATTTATTATATATTTTTTTTTTTTGTAAGCTAAGGGGGAGGGCCCTTCCTTTAGAGTTTTCACTGATTAAAGTGGAGTTGTTATTTGATTGTAGGTAATGACTAATAATATTATTTTGTAAACTTTTGTATTTCTTGTATGTTTCATAACTATACTCAAACTGTCTAGTGTCTACGAACTACGAGCCTTAAATCAAGATTAAGGTAAGAGCAGGACATTTTGTTTAGCTCTTAATATTAACTTATTTACCTTTTCCTATTCAAATCTCCCCATCAATGTTGCAGCTCAAAGTTCAAGTAACAATCTACTTGTTGTGTTTTCTCCGCAGGAATCCTTAGTTACTGCGGTCCTCTGTTTCCGTGTGTGCAGTGCGGGAAGGTTTACAAGTCCAAAGCTTGTTGGTACAGGCACACTCGCAACGAGTGTAACAGGGAGCCTTCCATAGCTTGTCCACGTTGTGAGTATCGCACGCACCAACGTGCTCATCTCCGCAGACACATGTTCACAAGGCACAACGAGATTCTACCTCCCGTCTTGCCGGGGCGGAGGCCTTTGTAACTGATTATACGTTTTTGGTCAACTGTCACTGGTTTGGTCTTTTACCACTGTACTTTGAAATCACCTCTATTCAATATTGTCATAAAAGACATGAAATTGTGATATTGATTTACAACAATAAAACCTCAAATCACAGTTCTGCAGAGAATCTGCAATATAATTATTATCGGATGACATATTGGTTTCATACATAAATTGTATCATATGTAGTCTTTAACATCTTTAAAAACAAAAGTTAGTTGTAGGCCTATGAGTTTAAAAAGTACAAATTTACGAAGACTTAAATTTTTATTGGTTTCTTCTTTTTTATGAGTTTAGAAAAAGGTAAATATTGTAAATAGTACCTTGTTGTCATTATCAAGAACTTACAGACTTTAACAGACCCAAACTCTCAGAACACTGAAAGAGTGGTGGACAGCCTCCATGAAAATACCTACAGAACGGTAGCCTATATAATAGAAAATCAATATTTATATTTAAATACCCTGAATATTTTTTTATATTTTATATTGAACTAACTGTTGCCCGTCGCCTTCGCCCGACATGCTTTTGAGTTTTATTATGAACCGGCTGAAGTTGTGACTTCACTACAGGCTAACATGACCTTTTAGATTATTTTTCCTGTAATCGTCGAAGATCAAGAAGCGTTATTTGTGAGCCCAAAATCTTGCTGATGGTTTTACAAGAAAACCGTTTATGTAAGTTTTACGATCAGGCATTTTGATCCTTTTAGGTGTTCAACAAAACCATGTCTTATACAAACTTTGATTTTTGTGTTCCTGAGATTAGAAAAAAATAAAAAATAAAAACGTTTCACAAATCAATCAATAAATAACCCCTGACAATTAAAGGGTAAATGTAGAAGTGTAACTAAAAACTAAATGATTAATTTAAGCCTGCAAACGTGTTAGGTATAGCCTAGTTGTCTTTGTTATGGAAGTGGTAAAATTACAGAATACCCTTAAAACTAATATTTTATTTTACAATAATATAAACATTATTAAGAATGCATGCTACTAATTTTTTCAACTATCGTAGTCTGTTGCCATTCTATTAAGTATTTTTCCTATAATTTAATTCATTATAATAATCCTGCGTAGATGCAGTTCTGTAACTACAGCTGTCTCGTTCTCTTGGGTAAGCCTACATCAGTTGGTCTAAAAATTCAAGGTTTGTCCTTTTTTTAAGTCGTCTTTGAATTAAAAAATAAACTCAGCATATGGACAGATAAAAATCTTTAGTAACACAGAATTGATGTTCATTAATTTGTGTGTGCTTGAGTCAATTAACCTGTTTTATCCAAACCCCTACGTTTTTATAGACTATTTTGGACCTAAAGTAACAAAAGTTCTTCAGACCTTGTACTCACGAGTTCTAAACAGCTGTAAACAACTGTATCTACTCAGTATTGTTTTACCGCACACAAGTAGGCCTAAAATAAACCTTCACTTTTTTACGACTAAGAGACTATTTCATATTATTAATAGTTACTTAATACCGCTCTAAATTAAGCTCATAAATTCCACCATCTCATGTACTAATTTATCTATTCTACCTTTAGGACGTTTGTATTACGAGTGCGATAGCTGTGGAGCAAGATATTCCGACAAGAGCAGGTTAACGTTTCATATTAAACGTCAGTGTGGCAAAGCTCCGGATCTGAATTGTAGCGAATGTGACTTCGCCACTTTTTGGATCTCACATTTGCGGAAACACATGTGGAAAAAACATCAGATTCACCTACCTCATGTGTATTCCAGATAAGTTGTAGACATCCTTACGTAATCACACATGTATATAGACATGCATAGTGAATGAAAACTCAGAAGCATATTTATACAGGTAGTAGAACATAATGAATGAAGTGGAACCACTGTTTGTGAATCAATAGGACTTGAGACTAATTAATTTTCTGGCAACAGAAAAAAGTAAATTTAGAGTAACTTATTAAAGAAGAATATTTTATACTAGTACCGTATCCAAATTCAAAAATAAACTATAGTTTTTTTTTTAATTTTTTATTTAAGGTTAAGTTTAGAGAAAACTCTTGGGCAACATCCATTATTATTTCAAATATTAACTTATTTGTGCACTTTTAAATTTGAGGTGAAAACTAGTTTTGATAAGTCTATTGCTAACCCCTACTGTCACAAAACAACTATGTGTTGCAAGTTTTGTTTCTTATGTTAACCGATTTCTTATCAGCCAAGCATAAAATTTGATGTATTGTTAATTCCAATTTATTTTTTAAATTTTGGATTTGATAGTCTTACTTTTAGTTATCCAAATTTCATTAAAATCTATTACTAATTTCATAAAAGTACTCGAGTTATCAGACACGAATACTTTATTGATATCAAAATGAAAAAAGTAAATCAGATCCAGGTTTTTCCTTGCCTACGGTAATAGATTTTTCGCTACAGGAAAATTCGCTAACAGCCAAGAGATGTAAAGAGTTTTTTTGTATACTCTAATTCTGAGACATTTTCAAAGGCAAATTTGAGTAAAATCAATAAATATAGATCACAGTCAAAACTCAATAAAGCAATTCAAATTTAATTTTACTAATCATCTTCAGATCTGTTATAGGAAACATTAACTATTTGAACAAAATAGATATTGTAATGATATCTACAGATATTTTCATTACAACATATAACTGCCATATTGATTGACTGATAAATTACTGATGTTTTGAAATTAAATTATCCTATTGATTAGGTTTGATATCTCATGTCTAATAAATATACTTTTACAACTACGGTTTTTATGCATCGGATACTCACAGATTATTTAGTCGTTGATCCATTAAGTGTGTATATCTCGTACAGTCTACATTATGTGTTTGTTAATATTTTTGTTTTAAAATATTTGTATGATGTAAATCATTAGTACTTTGTTGTGTGGTGTTAATTTTGTTAAAACGGTTTTTAACTTAATAAAATATAGCTTGTGTTTTTGAAGATTAGTTCCACTACATAGTTTAATTAAAGAGACAGTCTTTATTTTATGACTCCGTTTATTTAGTGTTGACTTCATGCTTCATAAATTTTTTCAGGTATGTTATGTTTGACAATTTTGTCATATTGTAATGGTTAATTACAATGTTTTAGTGTTATACAATTTTTTAAATAGTTAATTTTTACCTAAAGTCTTAAATAGGCCACACCATGCACTGGATGAACAAGTAATTGCTCTCTAAAGCCGGGCTTACATAAAGCCAGTTGGCGAGCAGGCTACCGGCCTCAAGTAGGCTACTTGAAATGCACTAGAGGCGAGTAAACTGCCCCGTAACCTGCCTACTCTACTGGCCCCGTAAACGCGGCTTTAGTAATCTCAAAGAAATGCACATATCACATGTTCGACCTGTTAGCGAATTTCCCATATAGGGAATAAGCTATTTAAATATGTTAAGGAATTTATATCAGCTATTGAAATTCACCTACTATGGCTTAAACATCTAAGGTGATTTAATGGTTAAGGTAACAGCTTTCATTTGTCCAGTAATAGCCGAAAACTCTGTTTGGACTGGGTTTTATTTCAAAAGCCTTGTAAATAACATAGTACAGTAGAGTATCATTTGTTTGGATCAGTTTAGTTCGCACAACCACCTGGAAAGAAATTAGTTTGATGCTATGTATCAAACATTTTATAACTTAGTAATTTATCGATTTTTGTTACATGCCTATCATGTTTTTGTTGTATTACTCTAGTTTATCGATTTTGACACAATTTTTTTATTTTAAATGCATTCATTTATTTTTGTATCTTCTGTCAGTTAAACCTTTTCTTTGTTTGGACCAGAGTTCAGCAGTCTCTTGACATTAGTTTTCGAGACTGGAATGAAATAAATTCTGCTGTAATTTTGTCAGAATAATAATAGCCTAACTTTTATATGTCTATCAGCTATTAATGTGTAAGCTTTTTTAACTATTTTGTTAACATTATACTGGTCATAGACATAAAATTACTTAATTTGGGTCATCCTCCACAAAAACTCATCAAATTGGGGTCTCCAAAAGTTTCTCCTTAAATATTGTCCTAGGATTTTGATGATTTTTTTTATTCTAGATGATTGAAGCAAACAAGTATGGCATATTTGTTCATATTCGTCATCAGGGCAAGATAACTGAGGAAAATATGTAAATTTTGTGTACAAAATAATACAAATTTATACATAACATAACTAGTTTTTTATTTATCTACCCTACAATTTTATTCTCTCAATGTAAAAATTAACTATTTTTAGTGCAGTATTCGTCTATTCTTTGTACTACGATGGAAGCTGCCTCAAATACTATGGTGAGTATCTTATAGTAATTTATCTAACCTTATTTCAAGCTATTAACACTACTCGCTGCGGTAACAAGTAATGTATATAGTAGACTCAGATTTGGTGTTATAACTTGTGTGTTTTGGGTTTGAGATTTGGGTTGAGATTAGTTTTGTGAAAAAATACTCATTTTTAATGTTTTTTTTTTGCAGTTACAGCCTGCTTTCAACAAGCTGCCGAGCTTCTTCAAGTCGTGAATAAAATACATGGTGAGTCTTTAAACGAATTAAATTTGAACTTATACGGTTAGAACGGTACAGCCCATCAATTTGGTGAGAGATGAAAATGGTGTAGGGTTTGAGAAATAACTGGCTGTCCATGACCACATTAGACTTAAACTTGCACGAGTTGAGTATTACCACCGGCAAAGTAAAAATGGAAATGTCCCCGAAGCCTGCCTCAGGTTCTCCCTGGCCATTCCATCATCACAGCTATCTTAGCCAGGAACACAGTTGGATGCATTCCCACAGAAAAACATAAGTCCACCCTATTCTGAACTCTATGAATTTCAGCCCCTGTCCCACTTCTTACCTTTGAACCGTCAGTATATCATTCAAGGTCACCCTGTGAAGAGGATTTCTTCCTAAGGGTGCGTTCACAAAGAAAGCTGGTTACAAGTAACTTACTTTCAGCGCTTGTTCCAAGCGCTTGAGAATGCTGTTGAGTGTTCACAACAAATAACGCCAAACGCTTGC